GAGAGAGGGGATGACATGCAGCAACTTGGTACATGATCGCCAGCTCTACCCGGCGGGCCCTAAATTTCCTATTTTACATTTCTGTCTTGGTTTATTTCATAAACGCTCAACTTTCCTATAACACCTAAAGGCACCATAAATGCTCATCTGACTTCATTGTGACACAATGCGATACTTTCACGGTTTCTGCCCCTTATATGGCGTGAAGGAGCGATGTCCATGCCTTGCGGCTGGAATCTGCCTCGACAAACAAGTTACCTTTTCTGGGCCAACTCACAGTCGGTTGAACATAACAAGGTGCTAAATGCATCAGCACAATATTCTGAAAGTTGTGTCTTCCTTTGCTGTGTTACCAACTGAGCAAAGTAATATACTGCAGGGGTTCAAAGAGCTCCAGGTTTACTCTTTGTCAACTGGTTTGTGCCCCAGTCTGTTTAAAATGTCCTGCTATAGGCTACCTGATCTTAAGGTCCTTTTTCAAAGAGCATCCCTGTGGCAAAATGTAGTTTTAATGTAATGTAGTAAGACCTTCTTTAATCCAGTTTAAATCAGGTGCATATTCCTAAATTAAAGTGGCCAAACAGAAAATCTGAGCCAGGTAGTATTTTAAGAAAGAAAACTGGACATATTGCTCAGAGGGGTGAGGAACATGGATAACTGGAGTTTTAAGATAAGAATTTGTGGAAATTATGGGCTTGGTTGTATAGACCCATATGAAACAGAATTATTATTATTATTATTATTCATTAACATATTATTCAGAACTTAAAGACAACAGTGAGCCAGTAATGAATAGCGTAAGTCATCTCCCCTTGTTTATTGTCTGCATTCTCACTAGAGCGAATTGTCCCGTATCTTCATGACGGTAACAGTGTAGCTTTTATTTTGAAATCACTCATCCGGGTCCCTGCAGGCCAAGCAAGCTCGCGCTGACTCGGACCGTAGCTCAGTGACGTCGCGACACGTCAAGCTAGCCGTAAGAAACACGAAGACGAGACCGGAAGTGTGTCGAGTTTGATTTCAGAACAAAAGCGTAACTTTGTGGTTTTTTTTTAAGGAGCATAATATTTATTTATTTATATACGCCAGAATGTTTTCCTGTTAGTAGAGTGTTTACTCACGGGCCACTTCATTAATGTATCTAAAACCTAATGTTGCAGTTGAATTACATTTATCTTCATTTATCTTTATATATTGCCAAAACAAGAGTAATTAATTAAAGTTAAAATTTTGACGTGGTGTGTGATGTTTGGGTGGAATACACTGATATCTAAAACACTCTTGCCTGAATAAAGAAGATGTAAGAACTACTCTGAAATACAATGCTGACTCATAATCACAATATTTTGTTTTTAAAAATGCATTGTTTTTTATGCATTTCGCTGCTACGGGGTCCCAGAGCAATCATAATCTGCAAGGCTCCTGTCTCTTAATGTCTGTCCCCATTTCTGTGCAATGCAAACAGTTTTTACATGCTGGAATACTATTTGGCCCCTGAATTAACCCGAAACTCAACTAAATAAGGAATATGAAATGTATTTGTCAGTCTCTTGTTGATTGAGACAGACAGATATTCAGATCATGACCTTGAGCTATAATTTAATGTCACTACACTCATATCCACATGGGCTAAGCACAAATTTATAAGGAATATGCACCATGTGGTTTCAAACACACCACCCAGAGACACTGACACACAAATACATCTTTATTTGAATAATGATTGTGGGGCATTTGAGGCCTAATTGCGTAGGGACCCGTGAAATACAGCCTCCACTTCCCTTAATGGAGGAAGATGTGAATGCCTGTGAAAATATTATCATAGTTTCGGGGTGAGGAGGGGGTAAAAATGCCACTCTATGTAGTTGAATAGTTGACTGTTTATTTTATGTATTTTCTATTCATTTACTAGTACTCGTGCATGTATAGCATATTTGACAAATAAAGCTGACTTTGACTTGAAGTGCACTCGGCCAATGGGTGTTTTAATTTGAAGAATCCAACCGGAAGTCGCACTCTAACTCTGAGTGGCTTGACACTGGCGGTAGGAATGGCGGCTAAGATTACTAACGCTAGAGGAAGGAGCCCAAAGACCATGAAACTTTACTTCTAGCGGCCCCGCAGAGGAACCTGTGTCCAGCGAAACGCAGTAACAGCATCCCATAACGGAGCAAAGGGAGAAGAAGTGCCATTACGTGAGATTTCTTGGCGTTAAACGTCCAGACCGAGGAGCTGGACGCACTTTGCGACTCGCTAGTTAGCTGAACGTCGGAGCCTGACTCTGGTTCAGGTAGCGCTTAGCTCAGTAGCCAGCTGTTGGCTACTTTGGCCCCAACAAGTTAACTAAGTGATTAACTGCACGAAAGCGCTCCTCGTTTGATTTCTTTTGAATGGTGACCAGCTGTCTTCGCCCACAGATAGTATTGGGGGTTGGTTTTTGTTTACAAGAGAGCGGGATCAGACGACAACAAGTCGACACAGCAACATTATCGCCGCTAACCTCAACGTTAGCTCGCAGGCTAGCTGAGTTGGGCTCCTGAAGTCTCGCCCATTTTCTTCGGCTCCTGCCCCAGCCATTGGCTCAGGGCTCATCGACAGCCAACTAGTCTGGTTTTCAGCTTCGATCGGTGCTACGATGGAAAGCCTAACGCTGACTGACATCGAGCAGAAATATTACTCGGATTTGTTCGTTTACTGCGACACGGACAACACCAAGAAAGTGGCGTCCAATGGGAGAGTTCTTGACCTTTTCCGGGCGGCCCAGCTACCCAGCGAAGTTGTCCTGCAGGTAAGCTAGCGTTAGCCAGTGCCTGCTTGGTTTTTTCAAAGTGTTACCACCGACACTGTGGGAGCTGGCCCACGAAACGGGGCTCGTACACACTTGTCCGGCTGTCGGAGCTGAGCTGTCATCCGGTAATGGTTAGTTAGTTAGTTAGTTAGTTAGCCTGGGTGGTTAGCGAAATGCTGCGCAGCACAAGAGACACGCCTTCTTTCTGGCTAGTGTTAGCCTTTAGCCAGACTGAGAGTGGGCAGCCAAGTCACACACTGAGCTGAAGAAGATCTGGGCTCGCATTGACATCTCATGCATGTAACACACCAGTCCCCATCAGTCCCCATCAGTCCCCTGCCTTTAGGCTCCTGTCTGCTGTCTGCTGTCTTCTCACTCCCATCACAGTCTGTTATTGTTCTGCACTGGGTTGAGCTGACACGGTGGAAATGCAGACCCAGTGTGAGACCCAGTGTGCGCCCGTCAGTGGGATTCATATAGAAGTTGTCACCTAACCTAAACTGCCTCTAATACACGAGTGAGGCAGGCTCACTGCCACCCAGCCTTTACACAGACCTTGTGAATATGTGTTAACCCACAGATACGTCCGTCAGACTATGTTATGGAGCCACTGATCCCATCCCGACTGTCCCCGTCTGTTGACTTTAACCGCTGCAGCCCGTTGTAGGGACTCCAGCAGTCTCTCGGCAGGCCAATATTTGCAGTTTGTGAGTCACAATCCTTTTCAAGGTCAACAAGGGGAGCTGTGTGGTGGAAGAATGAGGCGGTGTTGTAATCCCCTACTATCAAAATGCACACCATGGGACCCGTCCGGCTACAGTGTGGCGCTGTAACAGGCGGAGGAGAAGTGACTGGTGCTTTGTGTCCACACACACTCCAAATAAAGTCCTTTTGTCAGCCAGAAAGGGACCAGTCAGCTGTGGCGGGCTGTCGGCTCTCTCAGCGCTCAAAGACTCGCACTTGGTGGAGCCAACCTAATGTTGTGAGGTTTAACTCCTCGGGTGTTAAATGTCCACAGGTTTTTTTCCTCTGCTGTCACAGCGCCGTTCGTTATACGCCCTCGCCCTGAGTTGCAGTGTCTCCCGTGTTTCTGTGCACGTTTGAAACATGTTGTGGTTTTCTGTTGTGCTGCCCAATCTGACGTTTTGGGACAAAGCCTGCTGAGCATGACGTCATAGTACAGCCAAATATGTGATAATCAGGCTTAGTATCCGTGAGGCCCACTGAACATCTGCCAATGAATATGAGTTTGTTTCTTGTGCCACTTTTGTGACTTTAAGCAGATAAACTGCATCACGTTCAGTCAGTAAGTCCTAGTACAATATATCAAGTGTTTACAACCTTACTTGTGTCCACCTCTTGTTAAAGCAAGTCGTTTTTGTGTTTTACTCTTCCATGTTAAATTGTGTTTGTTTTGTGGTGAATTATCAGAAGAAAGACTTCTCCTCTCCTCTCAGTAATGGCTGATATCACAGTTTCACGTACGGTGTTGTTAACTGTTCCTCCTTGTTCCTGTGTGTGGGTTCAGATCACAGAGCTTTGTGGAGCCACTCGGCTGGGTCACTTCGGGCGGAGCCAGTTCTACATCGCTCTGAAGCTCATTGCCATTGCCCAGTCCGGTCTGCCCCTGAGGGTGGAGAGCCTCAACTCGGGTGAGTCCACCGTTCAGATGCCCCCCCCCCCCTCGCTCTCTCAATCACTGAAGAAAGATTCTCACACAGTCTGTACGATCTTATAAAGCATACCAGGCTCTCGAACAGTGGACGTTTCTGTTCAACTCAAGGCTCTGTCTCCAGGGTGGTCAAAGTCTTTTTATTCTAGAAGTCATAGCGTGATGAATCAGAGGTCACAGGACAAGAAGCAAGGGTTAGTATAGAAGAGTTTGAGTTTAAAATGCAGGAGAATGGAGCCTGTGTTACCTAACTGTGCAAATGATGGGCTTCACATTAAAGAAATACTTAGTGTGCAGTCAGTGGACACATCGTAAGTCATTGGAAATACATAATCACAGTTCATCAGCTGGTAGAGAGAGAGTCGGCCATTAATCGTAGAGTTGGCAGTTCGATCCCCGCCTCCTTCTGTCCACACGTCACATGAGTGTCCTTGAGCAGGACACTGAACCACAGCTTGCTCATTATGTGTGTGTGAGAAAGATACTGGTCCCTTTGGACAAAAATGTAATGTTATCAGAAATGATACATGTTATGTCGCCATTATGCTTATGACAATAAGAGCTGTTGCTACTTGCTTTCTATTTATCTGGACTAAAGAGTTTGCAGTCGAAGGTTCGAGGGTTTCCCTTCAAAACTGCATTTTTCTGTTTGTCTTCGGTGTGACTACTCTCAAAAGAAAAAGACAGAAGAGAAGATGTCACAGTCAGCCACTGCATGAAGTTACTTGCTTGGCCTGAAATATTGCAACATGAAGTTGCTGAAATAATTTCATAATTTGATTTTAAAAAAACAAAACACAAGGAAGCACAGAGGTTACTTCCTCATAGCAAAATGGACATGCTGTACAAAGTGATGCTTATTAGATTTGGGGATGTTTGAACTTTTCTCTCTCAGAGATAATGCTGTGTCAGAAGTAGATACGGTGAGTTCATAATGTTCGTTTACTCTGTGCTATCAGAAAGCCTCACATCGGTCGCTGCCGAGAGATTGAATACAAAGTTGTTTTCCTAAACCATTTCAGGAGCTAAAGCTTTTTAAATGTGAAAAGTGAAGATGCAGAGAAAAAAACCATTTGTAGATGTAGAATATGAGTTTAGTGTTAATTCAGTTGCTGTGTGTTTTCTAGAAGACGGTCCATGAAACATATTAGTCCTGTGTTTCCTGTGAAGAGGCCAGCAATAACTTGCCTGTCCATCACTTGTTCAAAGATTATTTTGACGTGTTTGAACGTATATTTGAATGGCTTATAGGGCTGAACCTAATCATTATTTTCAATATCAGTCACTGTATCTGTATCTGCCAACTACACTCCCACTTGATTATGGCATTTGTTTCCGTTCTCTTCTAAGTGAGCTTTTAATCAGTGCGGTGAAGAGATAAGAAGACTGTCAGAACACGCTGATGCACATTGTGTTTTATGAGTTCACGTTGTTGATTGATATTCTTGTGGTTGTATGACAAATTAATATCTTCTTTTTAATATTTGCACATCAATACTGTCACTGTGTTTTATATGCTTAACGGCTTATGTTTTTGTTTTATGTCTGTTTGTTTAATTGTTGTATTTTTGCTTCTGTTGTTAATTTTGTGCCATTGGTTTCAGAAGTTCTATAAAAACTAGAGTAAACTAAAGTTTATTCAGTGCCGCAGCTTTGGAAGTCAAAAGCAGGAAAAAAAAACCAATGTTTGACAGAAAAAGTAAAACATTCTGTTGGAAATCCTGTGGCAAACTAATAGTATGTACTTCTTTCAATTTTCAGTTTTGTTGTGACATTCAACATCATAAAAATCCACTGTAGAGGAAACAAACAGACCATTTACTGCAGCAACAGTATCTTCAGTAGAACAGCATTCATGTTAACTTAAAGTTCATGCTCCTTCTCTCTGCATTATGGGAAATGTAGGGAGTCAGTGAAGCAGAAGCACATGAGGCAGGATAAACTCACATCTGACCATTTTAGGGGAGTGCTTTCAGTCTTCAAGCTTAGTGCATAAAAGCACCTGAAAATCAATATGAAACAAATCTGTCCTCTAATCCTGTAAATGGATTCCTGTCTCCAGTCAAAGACCTGCCGCTGCCCAGGTTCGTGGTGGGGAAGAACGAGGCAGAGGCGAGGCACGCGGCGCTGTACCAGGACACAGACAGTCAGGGGTTGTACCCAGCCTCTGCCACTGCAGTAATACCCAGGCCACCGGGCAGGGGTCTCCAGAACAAGAAAGGTCCCCCATCGTCAACCTCCCTTCCTGTCCACGAGGTCATCCAGCCCCTGGCACCCAGCATAGAGCCACAGGTTAGTGAGTTACACCTTTTAATGTTTTATATCAACATGTTTCTTTGCACTTTTTCTTATAATTACCCATCGTTTGTTATAAAAATACATAATGGGTGAAGGTACCAGTTAAGACTTGTTGAGGTCTTAAGACAAACATGCTGCATTTCCCCACAATTAGTCCTACCATTCTCTATCTTTTGGGGAACATCATACAGACGTTTTATTTCCTCCTGCAGTCGAACCCAGCAGTTACGAGAGATATGCCACTGGAATACTGATGTGTTTCCTGTGTTTTTTCCTGTGCATGTCTGAGTCCTTTAAGCTCAAATTACTCTCTGCAGTTATCTGCCGCTGAGCTTTCCCTCAATGAAACCAGCAGCGCGTTGCCCGTCGGTTATGACGACCCTCTTCCTCGGCTCATATCTGTTTGCATCGATCTGTTATGAAATGTTCATTCGCTGGTTGCTTGAACATGCCATATCTGCGATGGGCAGATAAAAAGCTTTGAAGTAGTATATTATCGGCCCGCACTTGTGGCACGTTTGAGATGGAAATCTCTTAAGTGTTTCAGATGGGATCTCAAAGTTAACACCCATAACACGTGAAACCCTAATATGCCTGGTGATTTACCGTCATTAAATCTGCAGTTGTTTTCATGCTTACTGAACGTCGGTTGTATTTATATGTGTTGCCAGCCCGAGCCAACGTCCCCGGTGGTCTCCCCCCACCAGTCTCCCCCCACCTCCCCTCACTCGTGGAGGAAACACAAGCGGCAGCACAGCGGAGGAAACGCAGACAGACAGCCGGTTGTGGCTGCAACCGGAGCTGTGTGGACGCACTTCAGAGAACCACAAGCAGGTAACATCCACTGACCCACTGCTGCTCAATAGTAGTTTCTTAATAACGCTAATGCCAATGGTTACACTGTTATGATTTAGTATAGTGGAGCTGCAGTGATTAGTTGATAAATGGATTAGGTGTTCATTCAATCGCTTGGAGACATTTCTTAAGTAGAAATGGCAAATTTTTCTGGTGTCAGTCTCCCCAGTGGCTCAGATTTCTCAGTTTTATACCGCTGCAAACAGATTATTTCTGGGTTTCGGACTGTTCGTCAAACAAAACGAGACATCTGGACATTTTTCACTTCTTAGTTAATCGAGAAAATAATCAGCAGATTCAGTGTTATGTAAAAACAATAGTTTCAGCCCTGAGTCAATAGAAAGAGGCCACGAGGGGAATCCCATACCATATTTTGGAAGCTATAGCAAAGAAGCGTCAGGGTTTCACTCTTTGTGGTGATGATAACAAGAACCATCAAAGATGTGACACCCTCGGCAGAAAAAACTGAAACTAGTTGTGACTTTTGCTCGAAAGAGTCGGCGAGGGACATGTTGTTGTGTTTTTGTTACTTCCTGGTGTTTGCAGCCTGTACATAGATAATGTTTGCTGAGAATGGCAGTTAAGGCTGTTAGTCATTACAGGAACAAAGAAGACGTCACATGATCTGTGCTGTGCTTTCATCAGCACAAAATGTGGTGGAAATATTACAAAAAAGAAAAGACGTGAAGCCGCAGCGATTCATTTAGTCGATTAGATTTCAGCTTCTCAAACGTCACGGTTTACTACTTTCTTTGTCGTATGTTATGGTAAAATTCAATTCAGCGTTGGACTAGTTGCAGCCCTAATCCTTTCCTAATAACACTTGCAGTATGTTTAGTTGTGCATCATGGGATGTCATTGTATGCGTTACTCTCCTGCTCCTTCCAGGTCCAGTGCCCGGTGAGGGAATGTGGCCGTCCCACTCGCCTCCCCCTCCAGGTCAGGAAAGTTGGGTCAGTTTCACAGCAGACACCCCGCCATCCAGTGCACTCCCAGGAATGCATCCCTCGTCAGTCCAGGTAGGGCCGTGTCGTGCTTCTGTCAACGTGTCAGTACTAAAGCCGGTCAGACTGATTTCCCCTGATAAATTACAGTTACATTTTGTGCAACTCACTTGTTGATGCAGCAACGTAGCTTTAAGCCCTTCAGCAAATCCTTTTTTTTTTTATCTTTCTAGCCCTTTTAAGCATCTGTCTTTCCCTAATCCACATGCATAGACTTTTAACTACAGTCTAATAACACCATAAGCTAATCACACAGCTGAAATGGAGTCCGTGGAGACAAAGAGATAACAAAAGTAAGCTTACATATTGTTGAGGCGTACATATACACCCTCAGGACACACAAGTGACCTGCAGGAGATAATCAGAATCAGAAATACTTTAAAAAATTAGAGAATGACTAAGTCACTAAATGACACAGGCTGTGTTAATAATGGTGGTAAACATCAGCAACCTCTTTTTAATCTGATGAAAAGGCGCCATTGGACATTGCAAACATTAAACATGAGATATACAAAACCACAGTGGTGCCTCAAACGTGTCACAAAGCAAAAAACTGCAAAGGCCTCACAACCCAGTGCCTAATTTTAGACAGGCATCACGCTGAGTTTTAGTTTCTTTTACAATCTTATTCAGTTTGTCAAATTGTGTTTGAGATCTGATGGTGCTTCTGTTCCACTAGAGCAGTCTAGAATAATGTGACCTTTTTGGTATATAAATGCCACACTTTGAATTTGTAACAAGCGTAGACAGTCCATTCAAAGCTGTGGCTAGAAAGACTCATACAGTACATATAGCCCCTGATGAA